GGGCACGGCTCCTGTGGAAGGTGACGCGCCAACATGCGCAAGAAGAGAGAGGAGGAACCCTCAATCATCTTTTGCCTTACCTAATTGTGTTTTATCGAGCGATGGGATGTTTGACAAATTCAGAGCGGACACGGTTTCCGCTGCTGACACGAAGCTATCCAGGTAGATACTCACGGGATCCCGAAGTAGACACGGATCCGGACGAGGAACCTGCCAATCCGCCTCCGGCTCCGCCCCCAGCAAGAGCAGCAGAAGAACGTCGAAGCGAGCGCATTCCGCGAAAGCAGAAGTGGGATGAGAGACCTGAGGACAGGCAGCCGGAAGCGCCAGCTGCGCCGACTCGTAGTCGGCCCACCAACGAGCCTCATAGCCGACCAAAACAGAGGGCACGCAAAATGCCAACTAGTACTGAGGAGACCGGGCGTACTCCGGTCCGGCGGAATCCCACACATGAGGAGATAATCGCGCAGATTTTGGGGAAGTCGACAAATACCTCTGCGCAGAAGGCACCAATGCCTTCGGAAGAAGACGGACGAACTGACAGTCGGCCGACTACGAGTCGGGCGACTGAAGGTCGACAAACGGAAGAAAGGCCGATTGAGCGGCGCGTTGAACCGGACAGCAGGCCGGAAGCAGAAGAGAGTTTGGCTGACGAGCCAACAACCCTCAGAGGGTCGTCTTCGGCGGAAGGCACTTCTGGGAAAACGCCGCCAGCAAGCAGGCCAAGTGGAGTGAAGACGCGCAGGGTGTATCCGACTGCCAGTCGGACAACTGCTAGTCGGCCGACTGCGAGTCGGTCAACAGAGAGTCGGCCGGATTCGCCGACTGCGAGACGGACAGGGCCGGCGACCAGTGTGCAGACGCCTTCGGCGGACGCACCTTCAGCGAAGACACCTTCCGCGCAGATCGCGCCGGAAGGGCAGGCAGCAGAAGCGGGCGGTGCAAAGGTGACAAAAGTCACTGCGGCGTCGACCCCTTCGGAAACCGAAGATCGAGCCGGAAGAGGGGCTCAAGCAGTGGGATCCCCCACTGCCTTGGATATTTTAGCAGGTAGTGGAGCGGCAGTCGCGGCGGAAGCTGCTGCGCGCCACAGTTCCAGGGAGTCGCCAAGGGATTCGGTGGCGACTGAAATCCTCGAAACGGAGGATGAGACGAGCTCGGAAGAGCAGGAAGCGGATTCTGTGCAGAAAACGCCAACAGGGGTGTTGTGCGAGCAGATAGTCCCACTCCTGCGATATCTGGATCGCAATACATCCAAGTACTCGGGTACCGGAAAACCGCAGTCTTATGTGGAGACTGTCAAGCGCAGTACGAGGAGCAAGGTGGCCACTTAGGCCTCTAGGTGCCAAGTATTGCAGGATAGGAACACTACCCTCCGACAACACCTGGCGGTCACACAGAAGCTATACCAAACCTTGCAGCATCAGAGGGAGGATGCGGCGACGAAAAGCCAGGCGGATGCCGAGCTAATGCGGGCAAAGATCGAGTCGGAATTGCAGGAAGAGCGGAGACAAAACCGCATCCTAGCAGCAGAGCTTGCGCGCCAGACACGCGCCTTAGAAGAAAGTCAAAGAATACGCAAGGAGGATGAGGAGTTGTTGCGCAACTTGCAATCCGAGTGCTCGGATTTGCGGGCGCGACGTGCAGAAGCGGAAATGCAGCTAGCAGAGGTGGAAGGCAGCTGCCGGGCGCGAGAAGAGTTGGCGACGCGGGTGACTCACTGTCTAAAAGGATACGCCCATTGGGAGGTGGCAGCTCAAGAGAGGATCACACTCAGGGAGTTCGAGCTTCGGGCGGCGGCATTGACGGAGGGTGACAGTCGGAGTCGGCGGCGAGTAGCGAGGAAATTAGAATCCTTCTTGTCGGGTGCGCGCGACACTATGGCGCACTTAGAGTCAGAAGTGACTGCAGCCCTCCGACGCCTGGGGTTGCGCAGCCGGTCGAAAGACTGGCAAGGTAGAGATAGCGAGCGAGGCAGTCCGGCGCGCAGGAGGCGCAGCACCGGATCTGCAGAGTGCAGTAGTGTAGTTTGGTTTCGTGCAAGTGTTGCGAGTAGTAGATAGGATAGCGTAGTGTTAGTTAGGACCTTTGAGGGTATAACGTAGATCAAGGCGTTTTACCTTGGGACTCTTCCAGTTTCGGAAGTGCAGATCAGGAACTCACTTTCTTGGCGTGTTTGTGCATTTGGTCCTGGCACCACGTAGAGAAGCTGCAGCATAGCGAAGTTACCGTATGTTGTAGTTGAAGGCCTTCGGCTGAATGTTCAGAGCTAGTACACCGGTTAGAGACTTGAGTAGTGCAGATCTGCACCTGCGGGTGATTTCTGATGCTCAGAGCCGGTTGCGAGTTGGATACTTGAACAGTTCCCCCTTACTCCTTCGAGTGACATATCCTGATTGTACTCCTACGGGAAGTTTCCCCTAATGCCAATGTGAAGTTTTATTACTTCGTGTAAGCCTTGGTTTGCAATTCAGGTTGTGTGTGTGTTACTGGATCGTGTCTCAGTTAAGTTCTCAGTCGGGCCTGCACTCCCTGCGTTTGGTGTGAGTCGAGGGTGACGTCCACGGCGTATGAAGAGGCTTCGTTCCGAAGTGGGAAGTCCAGTCCGGGTACCCTACGCTAGTTCCTGGCGGAAGGGCAGTAAAAGCCGGAGTGGGAGTCACTACCTGCAGAACCTCTGAGTGAACTTTTGAGACACTTTCCTCCTGAAATCCGAAGCGGAGGTCCTGACCGACCTCCGAGTTGTGCTTTTGCCAGTTTCAGGTGTGTGTGTGTGTGTGTGTGTGTGTGTGTGTTGAGTGACTACGCTGTACTGTGCATCCTCTTAGCATCCTCCGAGTCGAGATCCTCCTCCGAGTCGAGCCTCCGAGTCGAGCACTGCAGTATTTCTGGGAGTGACAGTCGCCTGAGAATTCAAACTCTACAAAAGTCTGTTAAACGTGACACTTTTACTCTGTGTGTTGCCTCTGTCCCTGTGGGTTCGATCTTTTTACCACCATACTGCAGTTTTAGCCTTTGGTGGGTTATTACAGGGAGGTTGGCTTCATCTATGAGGTAGAAAATTTGGAATGGGTGTCTCCTATTGTGATAGTGAAGAAAAAGAATGGTAAACTACGTGTATGTGTAGATTACAAGAAGTTGAATGTTGTCACAAAGGAGGACTACTATACTTTACCTTTTATAGATGAGATTTTAGAGGAGGTAGCTGGCCATGAGTGGTATAGTTTTGGAGATGGTTATAGTGGCTATAACCAAATCCAAATTGCTTCAGAGGATCAATTGAAAATTACCTTTATCACAACATGGGGAACTTTTGCCTTTAGAGTAATGCTATTTGATCTATGTAATGCTCCAGCCACTTTCCAAAGGTTCATGAATAAGGTGTTTGAACCTTTCATTGGAAAGTTTGTGAAAGATTTCATAGATGACTTTTGTGTGTACGGGAAGAAGGAGGGTCATTTTGATCATTTGATCAAAATACTCCAACGTTTGGAGGAAGCCAATGCTTCACTCAATCCAAAAAAATGCATTTTTGGATGTGAGGAAGGCTTATTGTTGGGGCACATCATTTCCAAGAATGGTATAGCTGTGGATCCAGAGAAGGTGACAAGGATCATGGAGTTACCTTTTCCGGTGACGTTGATCAAGTTGAGACAATTCCTTGGTATGGTGGGGTACTATCGGAGGTTCATCTTGTCCTTCTCCAACAAAGCTCATGCCTTGACGAGTTACATGAAGAAGGGGACCGAATACGAGCTCATCTTCAATGATGTAGAGGCGAAGTTGGCGTTTGAGGCACTCAAGAAGGCGTTGGTGACGGCTCCAATTTTGGCGAAACCTGATTGGGGTAAACCTTTTCTTCTGTATACAGATGCATCAAATATTGTTGTAGGATGCACCTTGAGTCAATTTGATGATGAAAAGCATGATCATCCAATTGCCTATGCTAGTAGACAGATGGTACAAGCAGAGAAGAATTATTCAGTGACCGAAAGGGAGGCTTTAGCTGTCATCTTTTCACTTAAGAAGTTTTGACACTATCTTTTGGGTGGAAAATTCACTATAGTGACTGATCATAAGGCCTTGAAATATATTTTCAACAAGCCTAATGCTGAGGGGAGGATAGCTAGATGGAAACTACTACTAGCGGAATTTGATTTTACCATTGAGGATCGACCGGGAAAGAAGCATGCTAATGCGGATTTGTTGTCAAGAGCTTATGATGAGGGAGGAGATCAATCTGTGGATGACACTTTCCCGGACGAAGATTTGTTGGTCATTGACACGGTGACATTGGTACCAGAGGAGTACAAGGAGATTTGGGAGTTCATTTCCAAAGGAGAATTTCCTCAAGGTATGCATTCAAGAGAAAGGAATGCATTGGTAAAAATATGTCAACCCTATATGATCATTGAGAAGGTGTTATTTCATCAAGGAGCTGACAGTCTGCTACGACGAGCTATTGGAAGAGGCGAAGCATTGCAACTCATGAAGGAGTTTCACGAAGGTGCCGTGTGTGGAGGGCATTTTGCGGGGAAGGTAACAGCCTTCAAGATCCTTGATGCTGGATATCATTGGAAGGGTATTTTCAAAGATTGTGTGGAATTTTGCAAGAGTTGTGATGTGTGTCAAGCTTTTGCTAAAGTAAGTGGTGGACTTACTCCCCTTGTATCTCTGTGTGTGAGAATTCACGGTTCTTTCTGTGTTGTATCCCTCCAAGTGGATCCAACGATTCTTTTTCCTATGCAAGAAGCTCTATAAGGAAGCTACCAACCTATTATTCACTAACAGTATGTTCAATGACTAGCATTCAAACTATAGACTTGTCATCGATGTGCATCTACCCTGGGGAATATGATTAGTTTTCATTCTCAACCTGCGGTAGTGCCATGTGAGGTAAGCTACGCGTTATTGCTGTGGGGTACACCTTAGTCCTGGACTACTACTGCCTTGGGGTTGAGTACGTCACTACTACTACCCACTTTTGCTCGCAAAGTATGTCAAAAAAACGACAAAGTGCACTTTGACATTGCTCCAAACAGGGTTTTATCTTCCCAGGTTGATAGCCACTTATCCGTGATTAGCTCCTCATCAACACTTAACCTTTTGCCTTCGATATCGACTCCATGAACCGAGAACTCATCTGCAATATTTCTCAACTCTTCTACTGTATCTTTATTCACGACCAAATTAGTGAATCGCTGCCAGCGGTCAGTGACGACAAAATATTGGCGATCCTTCTTCCTGCAGCTCAGATCCAGATGTAGCTTGTCTTTACTGACCACTGTCACAAGCTTCTGTAACTTCTGTAGATCAAGCTCACCTTGACTAAAAATATACGATGTGACGATGACATGGCTAGCACCATATGCTAGATACCTCTCTGCGTTTTCCGGGTTGACACCACCACCAAACTGTAAACCACCAAGATTATCTCCCAAAGCTTTTATAGCTTCAACCTCTCCAAGGCCAATTCAGGTACGAAAGTACAACATGAGCTGTTTCTACATCCGCGAGAGTCTACTATAGTATATACACGTTTTTCGTGACTTTGACCTTGATTGCTGGAGTTCCACGCTGCTGCTGAGCAAGTCACCTTCTCGCTGCCACGCACTTGCGAGCCAAAATGACAAAGCTTGTTCACTCTCTCGCCTTGGTCTGCCTAATCAGTATCACCATCATCTCTTCGGTGCATGTATGCCTGTCGGTTTGCCCGTTCCCAGCATATTCAAAAGTTGTGGCGTCTGCAGTCGATGATATGACCAATGATGAAGTGAGTCATCCCACGGAGGAGGCTTCTTCAGCCTACACCATTGTGACTGAAATCCGAGATGACGACATGAACGTCAGCCCGTGTTATGGAACTGTGGCCGAATCACAAATCGAAGGACGATGTGATGCAAGTGACTCCGATGATGACCTGCCTTTGGTTGAAGCGGCCTGCCGAAGAATGCTAGCGGACTTTGATCCAAAACCGAAAACTAACACCAACCCAAAGAAGAGGAATCTTCTTGAGGTTTCCAATTTCGACATAATTAGGTGTTTATGAAGCAACCCTGGAGCTTTCTCTCTTATTTATGTCAAATCTCCCGCTCTCCTCTCTCTTTCGTTGCTTAAAAGCAATATCAGACAGGACTTATCATCCACGCGCCAAACATCCAACAAAACGCCTCAACAATTACTGATTTCTCTCCATTACGTACTCTGCTTCATCGACCGGGTTCCACTTGATCGTTTTTACTGTTCTAAATCATTTATATCGAATCTGTGAAATCCTTCATTGAAAAACTCCATAAAAACTTCAAACTCTCGAAATTCTTCAAACGTCCGCGACGAACGAACACTTCGTACCCACGAGTGCTGTTTCTGGTAGTGCCTACTGCAAGAAACCAACAAAGCAACGTCGGACAAAAACCTAACAGTAAACACCAACCAATTCGGTGTAAGTAGTTCTTTGAGTGAAAGAAACGGGAGATTCCCCACTGGAACTCCTGTGGGTCGTTTACCCTACTGGCAAAACCGTCACCGTCACAAACACAAGTCAAGCCAAATCCACTCCACACTCGGAGATTGCAGGTCGATGCTCCCGAGCACTACTCCCAACGCGCTAGGCTTGACTCGAAGAATTGACGTTCTTCGAGCCGTCCCCGACTGTACACCCCTCGCGACCCAAACCCTAAGCTCGACACTATTTTTAGCAAAACACCGAAAACTACAAGATGATTACAAGAGAAAACTTTAACATCTTGTTAGAAATGCAGTCAATTTCTTTTTGTTGTGAGTAAGTTTACTTTGTCGCTACCGCATTTGAGATTGGAGTCAAATTTGTTGACTCCAATCCCAAATGTCTTTCAGATTTTGTGTTGTAAAAAACATTATTTTCTATCTCGTATAGATTTCTACCAACATTGAAGTATAGGCGTTTTTCTTGTTATCCCCCGTGTTGGATAGTAGTCAGAGAATAACATTTTACTTCAATTTGTATCCAAAGCTTACCATAATAATCAACTGCGATTTATGTTCAGCCATAGCATTACTTGCATTCATACATGCACTTCCATGCTATTCAAATTACATCCATGTATTCAAAAATCGTGTAAAGTGTAAGAACTAGCTACATCAAATCTTGATTGAATTTGACAAACAAAAGTTCACCATGAATAAGTAGTGTATGTGGATAGCATGAAAATAAGATAGTTGAGATTCAATTTTTCTATCATCTAATTGGCATTTGTTATTTATATCTTCGCTAAATACATAACAAGCTATTATTGACGTGATATAACAAGCTTTCACTTATTGAAGTTTATGTTTCATCTTCGAGTGAGTTTCTCTTCGAGAGAGAAACTCACTCGAAGATGAAACATAAACTTTGAAGATGAGATATCTTGAATGATCTATCTCTTCCTTACATATATACTTCAAACACCTATACAAAGATAAAGTCTTCGTCCCACCATCCAATCCACTCCTTCTTACCATCAAAATCCTAAACCTTGGCTTAAATATCTAATGAACCTTGGCATAGCTAACATGTCGCTTCCAACTAGCACATTGATTGATGACGTGTCGTTTCCAACTAATACATTGAGTAGCACATTCAACTAACACACGGATTGTTGACGTGGCACTCTAAATATTCCACTATCATCTACTCTATTCAATTTTAAGTAACCTCTATTTTAGTTTTAACTAACTAAAGATGGTAACACATGGATTTCATACTAGTTTGGAAACTATGCCCATTCAAATCCACAAAGAAACAATTGATCATACGTGTTCAATCATGAAACATAATGTCACAAAAAACCCATGAGCATGGATGAGTTTGGACTTGGGCACTCAATATTGGGCTTTGGTAGAAGTGTTTGTCTTAGCCATAATGTCATGTGTTTTCTAAGGGACGCAATTGCATAATATATATTTTGAAATTGATCTCTTTCAAACCAAAGTCCAAGAGTGTGTTCCAGATAGAAATTCTTGGCGCTAATACTAACAAATATATTTTTTCTCAATCTTGATAAATAGCTCAAACAAGTTAAAGTCAATAAGGTCTTGACGCTTATACTAACAAAAATGTTTATTCTCAATCTTGATAAATAACTCAAACAAGTTAAAGTCAATAAGGTCTTGGTGCTTATACTAACAAACATGTTTATTCTCAATCTTGATAAATAATTCAAACAGGTTAAAATCAATAAGGTCAAACATTCTACTCCGATTTCTATCTAGACTTAGTTCACTTTTATCTAATGACTTGTTTTCCACGATCATTAGAGTGTTGCTCTATGTGACTCTTGTGAAGAGTTACTTGCTTGTATAGAAAAATATCCAGGCTCTGAAAATTCAGCCTAACAAGACAATAATCTTTGCATTAAAATTTCAACTCACAATGCATAGAGCTCACTAAGAATATTGTACACACAAAAAAATAACAATACATCCGATGCAGTATGAGTTAATTTATTTAACAAGCATGTTTTTCTTCCGAGTCCAAATAATGGTCTGAAAGAAGTTCAAAATGGCAGCGGAGACTTTTCATTCACCTATTTCTTTTTGTTTAATACTTTGTTTGTCAAGTCAAGTTTTGATTGCAGCACCATGTTCACTTCCATCAAGTTGTCTTGCGCTGAAGCTTTTGTCCATTGTATTCTTCCTCAATTTCACCTTTTTTTCTTTGCAAAAAAAATGCTAATATCTTGTTTTATTATGTTTTACCGCACTTCCATGGTAATTTTTTATAGTACCAAGGCAATGTTTACTTTTATAATATTTGCTAAGATTTCTTTCAATATTCACTTTTTTTGAGATCATATGATCTTGTCTAGTTTGACAAAAAACACTTTATCTTTGTTCACTATTCAACGTGACAACAAGCTATCCTTCTCATACATCTAATGCTTCTTGTTTATCCAAATACTTCATTTTTACATTGTATCCAACGTAAAGATACTTCTTAAAACTTGTGTGAAGACCAAAGTTTATGATAGTTTTGTAAAACATATGACTCAAGAGTTTGATACTAAAAAAAATTTGCTATAAAATAGATTATGAAAACAAAAATATACTCTATTCAATTCATTAAACTATGCTGATGATGTATGAATGTAAGCTGATGCTTATTGTTATCTCATTGTTATTTAAAAAGATTTAATAAACTATCTTAGTATCAGACTGTTCAATTGTGATGAAAAATGATATATTTAATGTCGTCAATCTCACATTTACTGAAGTCAAATTTATATATTTGTTATGAAAAATATACTGATCAATTTTGGAATGTTAGATTCAAAAGCTATTGAGTGGAGATCTTAAAAGGGAGAGTCTAGAATGAAACTAGTCAAGAGAAATGTGGTTAAAACTTTCAAACATAACAATCTATACATGTTTGAGAATAATATCATTTCATAGCAATATTGTTTGAGATGAAGTCGATTTTACTATATTTAAAATTGAGATGATTCATGTATAGCATTCTAAGCTAGGTTAAAACTTTTCAAAGATTGAATATGATATATATGTATACATAAAGAAGAGACAAATAATGAAATTTTCAATCTTAGTATTCTAGTGTTTTAGGTCTATAACATGCTTTATTTGGTGAAAATTTAATCCAATATTTTTTTTTCAAGATGAATTATTTGGAAATTCCAAAAATTATAAAAAACGGTTGTTCATAATAATTTGAGAAAGCTCAATCTATGATAAAATCAGTAATATACTTAATGTGTGCTTAATAAGTTTAACATAAAACATTTTGAAATATAGTGTCATCTTTTGGCAGCACACTTCAAACTTGTTTTAACTCAATGTTCAATCAATGTCATTGAAAAGAAAAAAATTCATCAATGTTTTAAGGAAAAAAATGACTAGCCTCACGTATTTGATGGTTTAAATTAAATGTGGTATTGCTCTAATTATGGAAAAGTTGAGCAGATAGACGTCAAACCCAAGAACAAGCATTGAAAATTTTTGAAGTGGATTCTTAAGTAACTCAAAAATATTATAATACATATGTTAAAAAAATATAAAGCTTCATGCAAAAATTTTTCAATATGATTTGAATTGTTCACAATAATCTGAAATCGTTCAAAAATCCATCATAGAGTTCATATGATTCATATGTCTTTAACCTCATTGATTTATGTTTATAAAACTGATTTAATAACAAAGTAATGAAACAAATAAACTAATTGCAAGGTTCAATAACGAACTATAAATTTAAAATATATTCAAATGTATCATTGAAACAAATCCAAAAGCTTATATGTGCATCTTGTGTTCAAAACAAAACAATCAAGGTGGATAAAAATACTCTTGTTTTCAAAAAAATATTTTTTTATAATTTTTAATTTAGATTGATATTTCGTTCCACAATAATTAACCTATTGCTTGCTATTTTTGTCATCTTGCCATATGTTGCCATATCTTACTCTAACTAGGCGCAAATGGAATGATTTTCCAAAAAAATAAAAATTTCATTGTTTGAGATCCTTATATTTCCATATGTTAGCAAGACAAATAGAACATAATAAAATTTATTTATTTTTGACTGACAAGGTGCATAGAAAATCATCTCCACGAAAAACTCGACACTTGGTAATACTTTAGGGGGAACGGTCACAAATAGTTTAAACCTTTGTGAGTTTCACATTGCGTCAGCATCACCGAAGTTATTAATGTTACTTAAATGATTGTTGTTTCTTTTTAAATCAAGCAGAATCTGACGTTAAATCCAGATGTATTGTGGTTGTAAGAACAATGTGATATGATTAAAATAGATTATTGTATAATGGGATTCAAGTTGTTCTTGCCATCTTCTCAACTGCTACACCTGGAGTTGCAAATGCATGTACATGGTCGAAATGACAAGCAATATACTGTTCTAATTTGAGACGTTGGGAAAACTCTAACTTGGCTCAATATTGTTTTTCTTCAGGGTAAAAGAAAGAGGGATGCAATCATCTATACAACTGTTGTGAGAAATAACAAATCATGGTAAAAAAAACCCCATTCTATCACAGTTAATTTATAAAAGAGTTTAAGAGTTAAGATTAACATTTTATAGTACTTCACATAGTAGATGTGCTGCTGCATCCAATCTTCTTCGTATGATTCTTGAGAAACAAGGGGGGAAAACAATTTTCATTTTGTATGTTAAAACGACATGCTCATATGTTTCAATCAGGAAAAAGTATCAGGATTTTTTCAAGAAAGTTTACTTCTTGTAAAAGAATCATTCCTATACATGTCAAGTGCAATGTGCACTTTATTGTCATCTTATCGATGTTCAATGACTATTCTATGTTCTGATGAAGAATTTATTTCTGCCAACGATCATTCTATTGATGTTGGAAGACCTGTGGGCAAGTGTCGATTTCTATCTAAGGACTTCGGTTTCTTAGTCCGTGTTCCATGTCCATCTTGACTACTACTTCCATCAAATGATCGAGAATGCTTACTCGAGTTCATTCCGTCGTTCTCTCCTAACTCGAGCCTGCTGGGAAGATTACTATCATCAGAATCCTCATCCACGCTCGATATAACCTCCCGTACTTTGAAGTGACCGCGTTGGCTGAGCTGCTCTACTGCCTGGACAACATGTTCCAATCTGGCCAACATCTCCACCAATAATGAGGCAAAAGTAACCAGCGACAAGACCCTCGCCCCATCCACATCCTGCTTTTTGGCTGCGACGGGTTTTAATTCTTCAGCTATCTGTAATTTGATGGACGCACTGGAATCTAGGTCTAATCTTCCGAGTGATTTGTCAGCAGATTGTGGTGACGTACTATTTACTTTGATCAACTGTCTCTCCTCTGAGGGGCAAGCTGCTCCTAAAGGCTTCACTTTGCCACAACTTATACTTCCTTTATATTTACTTCCCATGGTGGAGTTTAAGCTCGACTGCAGAGTATCACGGTCTTCCACAGTTCTGAGAGAAGTTGCTAGACTTTCTAATCTCACCAACTTCGATTTGTCAGCGTTGCCTAAGTTTTGTATAGTTTTGCTATGAAGATTTTCTTCCATCGCTGTCCATCTTTCTGGGGTCGATAATAAATACGAATACTTACGGATACACTCGTTGACTTCATCCGCAGCATGAGTTGCTTGTCGAATGAGGTCTAGCGGAGGGGAGCTAGGCTTGCGCAAAGTACGAATGCAACTTCCTAGCTCATGAAGCAATTTAGCCGCCTCCTTGCTCGCTCTCCGTAACTCATCAGCAAAGAGAATTCGAAGACCTCGCGGCGCCTGACGTTTATCATTTGAACACGTGTGTAAAAGTTAGAAAAAGACGCTACACTACGGAATGATGATGCAAGTATGAGACACATCACTTCAGAGAACAAGATCATTTTTTTAACAGTGCACTCAGTTGATACGCGTAAACTCTAGGTACTTTCACAATCACATCGCCCAGCGTTATATCAGTTTAAAAGATTCTGACTTTCAAACCCTTCCTTCGCGGAATGTCACGCAGGAGTATAGTTCCCTGCTTTGCCTGGTGCAACCATCTATAACGAAGCGTGACGCTACAGCAGATCACATACTACAGGTCCGCCATGTGCGCTACGACTGATTGATACCGGAAGCAAGAAACAAAGTTGGGTTTGTAGTCAACTTTCAACTCAACAACAAGTCAAATTTTCTTGTATGGAACACATACAAAGTTTGATTTATAGGATTTACAAGGCAATGAAAAAATATACTATACCTGTATTTCAGATCGCAGACAACCGTGGAGGGCCAAAACGGTGTATGCGCAATGCCGAAGCATGGCTCCAACTTTCAAATATTCTTTCCAAGGATGTCCCAATCCAAAACGACCATGTGGAGGTTCCCACCGAGCAAAATTGACCTGTTGAAATTATTTCGCGCATGTTGGTACGATTGTGCGAAATGTGTGAAGCAGAACAATCCACATGTGCATTTGTATTCACAACTTCTCACGATATTGAGGGTTGAATCCAGGCAAAGAGGGTTCTTACTAGTGCCTCTTCCGTCATCCTTGACTTTACAGCCTCTCGACATTTTTTGTACACAGGATCATCATCTGGTTGTTGCACATATATTTTCATATCTGTTACAGACCGCGCATCTTCGTCTAGATATTCTTCAACACAACCTGTACGCACGCGCGGAAAGGAACGTTATGTTAAACACATTCTATAACATCTACATCATTATGGCATTCGACGTTTCTTGGGAACTACGTTCAAATGAAGAACTACCCTGCGTTGATCTGCACTCAAATCTCACCGTGTGCATCACAATTTTCAACGCGTAACATCCGGAAATTTCTTAAGAAACTATTCCCACCTGTTAAAGCTTCGGCAAGCTTGTCAAAGTTGTCGGAGACAAGTTTATGAAGATCTGCTCCAGCCCAATGAGGAATGACGATCAAACTAACTAAAAGACAAATAAGTGCGCCGATCAAAATTGTCAATAAACGATCTGAAGCCGTCGTGACCTCATCACCTATCCGATATCCTATAATCAGTACCATGCAGAACGTAAGCATAAATATAACGATCCCGTAATCGAACTTGGCCTTCACTTTGGGGATTGCTCGTACAAATGTACAAATGCTGCCTGCAACAAAAAAATAGTAACGGGTGTATAAGAATAATATCATAAGCGAGAACGAATGCACAACTCTGAGATGGTTGTAATTTATAAATTGCTCGACTAGATTCTCTCATCCGGCTGTGAACACGTCATGCCTCCGCAATCAATATTCGCAATACCAGAGACAAACAAGTAGACAAACACACAACCGGAAGCTTAATGCAATAAGCTAATATACATATATATATACAAGGCTTATTCACCGTCAAAAGCCATAAAGCAGTTGAAAAGTATATGCTTTACCTGCAAAGAATACCGTAATTCCAATGCAGATAGGCTCTCCTGGCTCATGGAAAAGATCTGCTAAGTGTGCAAACCCAAGGGCTAAAATGCCCGCCAGCACCGTCCCTGCTCCTCTATTGAAGCCCCTGCTTAGAGTTGCGCCTGAAAAAAACAGTAACGTTCAAACTATAAGACGAGGAACTCTAAAATTCTTAGAAACATGGACAGCGATATGATTCTCTCTAATCTAGTGAAGATCTTGGTCTATCTCGTCGTTTCCAACATCAGGCAAAATACAGAAAACTCCGATTATCGAACTCCAGATGCTAATCAAAATGTGGCCTGTTTGGTCTTGTAACCACCTGCAGAAGTTTCGAAGACTACGACCACCGTGATGACAGCCCAAATCGCGTTCTGCCCAATCCATGAATAAGGCTCTTGCACCAGCACAAGCAGCGATGACAATGTCAAAGCCAGCCCGACTTTGGAGGCATGGACTAATCGCCGCACATCGTTCAGACCAAGCTTCTTGCAGATTTTGACGATAGAGAATGTATAATTAGCCTTCGCGGATTCTCCCATTAAATCAGAATTGTTGATCCGACTGCTGTACCTTCCTGATCTTCGTGAGCAAAAGTGAAGATCGCGTTCGAAGCACTCCTTATGCAGCCAACCTCAGGGAAGGTGTCTGTGACTGAAGTCTACAGCAGAGAGATGCAACGCGTTGCCGTATGTGTTTATCGTACGCTGTCACTAATGGATACTTTCAACGATCTCTCCGTTGTGAGACTAATTATTCTTGCGGTCTAACTCTCTCAGCTGACAAATGCATTCGCCTCAAGATGCAACAAAAGTTCGGTGCATATGCTAGAAGAAGTGCATATTGCAGGCCTGTTCACAATAACCAGAACAGGAAGCCAAGATTTACACATGTGAAATGTGCATAAGTTGAAGAGAGAAATCTTGGCAATCCTCTTCTCCCTTTGTGAAATTGGGAGGTGAAGGCTCTCTTATATTCATGTCACGCTCCTCGCTTCGCAGTATGTCAGCGATTTGAGACTACATTGAAAGCTCTCATAGATCATAAATGCGAGAGATCCTGTTCGGTATACAGGATCCTTCAGTTCAGGTGATGAAGGGACAGTAGGCTCTTCTGTTGGCCCAGCTGTGCCCGACCGCCCACAATTATATGCCCAAAATCGGTCTTCCTAGAATAGGTAGGACCATCCTTCTGGGCCAGTAAGTGCCTGCGTGTATGTATATACAATTGTGATTGCGAATGTTGGGACCCTCCACCGGTGCCAGAGGGTAACAACAAAGTGCTCACACAAACCCCTCGATCAGTGGATTTTCCAGATTTTCCAACTGTTGAGCAAGATTCGGAGAAACCCATGAACCAAGAATTTTTAAATAAAGAAATAAAGTGATAACATTGTAAGTAATGCAGTGCGGATGTAAACTTTCGGCCAAGCCAAGGAATACTAAACACCCAACAGGAAGGCAGTCAAGTCGTTTGTGTATAAAACAGATATCTGATGAATGAGGATGCGGCTAGCCTTGCAAGAAAAAAAGAGATGGAAAGAACCATCAAACTAAAGTACAGAATAATACATCGGGGAGAATAGATAGAGTAGAATTATATTAACATTATATAGGTGGTTTCAAATCGATTCCATAAGAATTTATGGCACATCCATATATCACTTTATTGATCTCTGGCATGAAAATATAGGGGCTCTATAAAAAGCATCTGTTAATCTTATGGAACATGTGAAGTTTGTGGGAAGGAAGTAAAATGAAGTTGAAGGAGAGGAAAAACCGGAGAGGATCCGCAAGGAGACGGAGACATGGTTCAGAGAATGGATTCACCTCCAAAAAAGTTGAACTTAAAAATCCAAGATTATGTAAAAGAAAAAATACTATTATTGTAGTCGTACATACAAATATATAACTTGTAGATCAAGTAATTTTGATATTTTTAATGTTTTTTCAAAGAAAAATTGACTTGGAATTTATTTTTGATCTTCAATTTTTTTTATAGTTAGTTTCATGTGATAGGATATTAATTCTTTTTAAATAATTTTTCTTTTAAAAAATTGATATAATTATTTAATAACTTGGGTCTGTCAACTTCTATTTTTGCAGTCTTGTCAATAATGCAATTAACATGATAATGAAATAAAATTTATAGATATATGATTCACTCGTATGTTACATCGACATGCGGGTGGAAAGAGTTGTACTAAATCCCAGAAGATATGAGTCTCCACAATGAAAGTATAAAGATTGATTACCAATGGAGACTCGATATACATAGCGTTGATCCTTGCAAACAAACAACCCAACTAGCCTAATGTATACGAAGTCGAGCCAACAACACAACACTTAACATAGGAATTGAAATAAAAACGAACAGCACGTAAGTCAACATGATTTGATTGTCCAGTTTGACGAGTTCTTGTTTAAAATTTCCATATGTTTACATCACAATGTTCACTGCAAATTCACCGTACATCTCTGTCTATGACATGTCGTGACAACTTTTTACTGAGCACTGATATCTTTTAGTGGATATCGTTTGCGTACGGAGCAGAGAAGCTAAGATGAGTCCAAACGCACAAGAGGAATTGCTCGATATACATGAACCTGTACGTCAACAAGGATACGACGAATGATATACCGGCAGTTGGACGTCACAGTTTACCTATATTGGATGGGATCAAAGTTTAGGACGTTCAATGACACTGGACATTAAAATACTCTCAGAACATATCAGAGCTTTCAACATACAGATTACGATGACTCACTAAGTATACTAATCTCTAGGGGCGTTACCTCTAAATGCTATGCTCGCGTCACGTTGATCAACGTCCTGAAACATGAGTCCGACCTACAGTATGATACAGACCAGCAGAATGTAGAGGAAACTATACTCAGGTGTGTGCATTTGAAGCTGAGAAGACAAACTTTACCAAAATGGTCGGAGTATGGTCTCCCTGGTCAAATACAGTCATATTTTGACCGAAAACAACCATGGGGGAACGGGGATGAAGTACTTCATAATGTACGGTAGTCTCAAAGGTCAAGAGCGGTCAAACTTTGACGTGTTTAGTGTTAGAAATAACACCTCTGAAATTGCGACCATTGTCCAAAATCGGACAAAAACCTGTCCTTGTCCATTTGCCATAAAACACGACGTACACAAGGTTTCGCCGGCGTACACTTGAAGGTCTTAAAGTTACACCAGTTGAGTTTCATTTTTATACATCGTGGGACTTCACTAACTAACATACACTCTCTCTCTCTCTCTCTTTTATATATATATATATATATATATATATATATATTCAGTTGAAACTTTCAATTTGGAGCAGAAAAATACTCTGCTACTTTTTTTTCGATCGAGTTGAAATCTTTCACCAATGTCTTTGATACATGGCGTGTAAGTCCACAATAGATCAATTTTGCAATTGCGCAGGCAGTGTGTGCAGAGTAAAGTGATAGCAAGGTCCGTCTTATAATTATATTGCTTTACTTCCAGACCCTAGATTTTGGAATGACCCCAGAATTTGTACTAAATTTTCCACTCGGTTCTCGTTACTGTTTATGTTTTACTTTCTTTGGAAACGTTTGTCTTTTAAGTGCAATTAATATCAAGAACATGTATCCATGGTAAGTTGAGACCATGTTTCCGTATGATACGTTTATTCTTGTGTTTGGCAACTTTGGCTTTACACGTACTACGATCTTACGGTCTAGATTCTTTACTTACTTTCGAAGCTTTGGTATATCGGCAATGCACTGTGGGATCTCGCGCTGCGGGAGCTTGTCCACGTGTTGATATAATGCTTAGCCAGTAGATTCTCATTGGTCAGGTGAAACTTCCATGCAGCGACGGTACTCAGCATACGGTACTGCTCATATCGATAGAGGTGCTACAGAAAGACGAAAATTATTTTTAATAAATATAAATTGCAGATTCTAGTGGTTTCAGGTTTAGGGTCCGAATAGATGTGGTTTGAGAAGGTCCTTGCGTTGAGAAGCTCAATTTTTTTTCACGTGATCTTGAAATGTGATGTGCAGGTCGAATAACTTGCTCATAGGTTCGTGGCGACCCGGAGTCCGTACAAACCGTGTTACAGGACATTAAGACGCATCTGGGTAGTGTTTGGGTAGTATCCTTTGAGCTAAGAACGGTAGGAACCGGAGATGACACCGGCACCAGGCGCAACTATGTCTTACCTGCACACCAGATCCCTGTCTGGAGCTTGCTGCCTGGATCGACAGTTCAAAGTTGCATGCATTACGACCTGCTCCTGAATGACCTCTCTTCGGCTCTCACGTTGGTGCTTCGAAACCAGGCCCGGGGAACTTTGCCCTCAAGAAATGAAGCTGGATCATGCATGTCACGCACTCTAAAGTTTCTGTGAACGTGAGTTCTGGTGGGTAGCCTACGTAGACTGTGCAAGTTCCCGCAACGATTCGAAAGTGATGTACAGAGTATGTGCTAAGCAATTTCGTCAGGCCAACTGACGATAATAATGTCTGACTACCTTGACTGTATTTCCTGACTTCCAGATATTAATAGCCTCTCTTTGAACCCAGGAGTCGCCAACCATATCGTACCTTTGATGCATGCTCGTTTGTGTGCTATCCTCGTGATGTTCTTTTTAGTTCACATGCGGAACCACGGTCCAGTTTATCTCATGGGGATCAATATGTGTGTTTATATTATCTGGCCAGATAAAAATGCCTGCATATGTTCATATGTTAAAATAAAATAAATATTCTGGCAGGTGCTGCGGCTCCACTTTTTTGCTCTTTTTTCTCAACTTTCGGTAGCAGTTTTGCGGAATATCTAGCGCACAGTATTGTTTCCCGCTAATTCATATCCAAGGAAGCATAATTCTCTCCTTTCATTGACCCTATTGCAATTTTGCCAGAAAACACTTACTCATCAACTGGTTCGAAACCTAGAGCGATAACTAGATCTGGGCACGACTCGACTAACGACTAGTCGACTTGCTCCAGACGCCTAGTCAACTAGTCGGGTTTTTAGTCGACTAGGCGTCGACTAGTCGACTATTTTCTGACTAAATTCGGGAGTCTCAGAAAAACTCAAAATCGCTGTCATACTCATTTATTCAAAACTTTCAAAAGTCGATTCCACGATCGAAGCTTCATCATCTTGGAAATATTCTCATCGGACAGACTCGAGCGTCGAGGAGTGACGAACGAGCCGCTGTCAGAGAAGGCGGACTCTGAAGGGACTGAGGAGCCCATCACCATAAATGTATCACAAGCAAGTCGCGATAACAAAGGGAAGCGTTTGCTGGAAGCGGACCACCATTCCAGTACATTATCGCAGGAAGTATCAGTTCTCTTCGTCAACTCAAAGAAGTCATCCACCTCGTCGATCTGACCACGTTCAGCACAAGATCCTGCACGCGCCAACTTGGCAGCGGCAAGAAGATCCAATCGCTGAGGAATCTCAACATTCTGCTGCTGCTGATATCCATACCTGACGATAAGAATTTGGCGAATACGGAACTTGAGCTCCTGAATGTCTTCATCGGGAACAGGCACAGATGGGTCAAGACCTGAAGCGAGCAAGCAGATAGGGTTGTTCATGTTCTCCTTGTACTTTTCCAGCTTTGAAAGCATCGCTACTGCAGCTCGCTTCGCAGCTGGTACAGTGAATCCAGATTCCAGTGTGCCGGATATCGTCGATAGGCAATGCGTCTTGAGAGACTCGTAAATAAGAGGCTCAATAGACAAGGTGACATAGCTACTACCGCTGGCAGTAGTTGTCAATTCGCTGGCTGGACGAAGGAAGTTCACGACTGATTTGATTTCTCGCCAATCCGTTTGACTCAACTACAAACCGTCCAACGCTGCAGTAAACTCTTCTTTGTTGCACATTGACTCAAAGACATCTTTGACAAGAAAGCAGTTATCAACCATTTCAAACATAGAGTTCCACCAAGTCTCAACGTCAAGGCCCGGTACATCAACGATGTTCCACCTGCCCAGCAGCACCTGGATCTCTCGGAACGCCACACGCAAAACCGCCGAGACGCGAATCATCTTCAAAAGAGATCGAATCTTCTCAACAACAGGCTTCACGATTGTTTCACAATC